CTGTTTGTTGCATAAGTAGCTACTATCCATTGCATGTATTGTGCGAGTTGTTGGTTGATCTCTGTTAGATTTGTCATAAGACATAGTACTTATGCATCTCCCAATCTCACATATCTCGCATGGTATAAGAGCTCTTATAAGAGGGAAACCTGTGTTTGTTTTCAATGATTTGGAAAGTTGAACTAAAAGATAAACCGACCTTTGAGTTGCATGATAGTGTTGGCAATTTTCCTCAATCTTCTGGTTGATGGAAGTTTCAGGAAGTTGGTTTCAGAAATAGTTGTTATGTCACAAGAAAAGAGTTTTTTCTGGTGTCCTCTTGCTATTGATATAAGATTTTACTCAACGACAGTAAAAAATCATAGAAGATTAGCGCAAAATAGGAGTTATATATTTCTTTTCACTTAATGTGGAAAATGTCTGAGTGAATGATTCAATAAGAGTATTAGAGATTAGGATACTTCTCGTGTCCTTGAAATTGTACCCCATATTTTAGCCTTTTGAGAGGAGCTCGTACCATATACTTTAGCATGATGATCAGAATCACATTTGTCTGTTGTTATGATCTACAGAGGAGTTTCATTGAATACCTCACTGATGAAGTTTTCACATCAAATGTAAATGTGCATGTTCATATAGGAGGACACATACTGAGGCTTATCTATCATAGAACAAAATATTTTTGAATTTAGCCCCAAGTAATTATATCTTCCTTTTTTTTCAACTGAAGTAGCTGGCTAGTACTTTGTGTATACTGTCATTCATGTCAATATGTTTCAGGACTAACTGACACTTAAATTCATAACTTCTATTTTTATTTTCTTCCAGAATGACAGCTCCAGAAATTCCAGAAAGTGCTCTTGAAGTTGGAGAGACAAATTTGCAAGTTGTAGGTAGGTTAACATCATTTTATTACTTTGTGGTTTCTATGGATTGCATCTGGGGTGTCAAATAGGTGGGTTGGGCTATATTTGGGCTGGTCAAAACGGGTTGAACTAATAAACTAGTTGGGTCATAACCCCTTCAAAGTTTGCTTGGGTCACGGTAGGGGGGGTCAGTTTGGGCTATTCGATGGGTCATAAACCAAAATTTGATTTTTGCATGCATTGGAGACAGGTATTGTACTTTGGTATTGGAAGTCCTGAAGCGTTTTATCTCACACAATATTTTTAATACTACTACATTTCTTTTTGTTACGATGAGCACTTCCTGATGATGTAACTTTATTTTAGACTACTTAATACTTACTCTTTGCTATTCTTTCAGCAAGCCTAATGCAATTTGCTATAACAGCAAACATTCTCGGGCTTCCAGCAATTTCTGTCCCTGTAAGTGACATTCATCTTTTTCCTGTTAGGCAGTCCACTGAGAGTAAATCTCAGAAAAGGATTTGGAATGGAAGGACCTGCATGTTGATGATATGCAAACAAGCTTCTAAGCATTTCAACCTAATAATATTACAATAGGTCTATCATATATATAAAATATTGCGCTAGGAAATCGGTGAATATGGGATTGTAGGAAGGAATAAGTGCCAATTTTGATTTCCCTCAGCAAATTCCTCATTAATTATGTTGAAACCGGTCGTGCAAGTGCAAATTTTATTCTTCTCTTTATTCACATTAACTCAGACCAGATAATGTTTGTCCGAAAAACCTGAAGATGTGAAGAGATGTTTTTACAAATCACAAAAAGATACAAAAAAGATCCAAGGTTTTGATTGACTATTAAGAAGAGTTTATTCTTCATTCTTCTTTTTGTCGGGAAATAGGTAAACTTAGAGCATCCTTTTATATGTGGCTTCAGTATTCCAAAATCATTAATTACACAAATAGCTTTGCTAGGTTTTTCTGTAGTTCAGTATGGACAAAATTTAACTATCACTACCACAAGAACGGAACTTCTCAGTCAGATACTTTCTGGTGTGCCACTTCCACATCCTCTTGAAAGGCAGGCACATCATTAACTATTTTCTCTCCTATAGCATGTCGAGTCTCGCTTTGTTCTTATTTCATTCCTATTGCTAGCTTGATCTCCTTTTAGCCTTTGAAATTTCAGCATACCATTCTTCGTTTAGTAGCAGCTAATTTCTTTAGATATAGGAATGTACACAATTGGCCATAGACATGCTCATGGATTGACTATGAAATAAGAGATAAAGCAGATTATAACTCCTCCCAGATCACAGTATTCTTTTGGATGTCCTATAAAGTTTCTATGTATGTGGTAGAAGATTTATGATCCGAGTTTTCGTAGGAACATGAAGTGCATAGCTACAAGAACACTAGAGCTATCTGTCATAGTGAAAATATCAAAATAGATCTATTGGTGCTTTCTGCATGCTAGTTTACTGTCAAGGACCTGCTCAACTTCTTTCCTTTTAATTTTGACATGCAGCAGAAAAATAGACGTCTGAACTTATCTCTCTTCACAACTTCTCGGTCTGTATTTGCATGACGTCTGTTTCCTTTTAGTGGCGGACCCAAGATTTTGTACAAGCGGGTTCAATCTTAAAAGTATATAACTTTAGTGGTAAAATAGTAGTTGTCAAGTAGGTTCAAATAACATATTTATACAAAATTTACGCAGCTTAGTCATAATTTATACATATACACAATATTATTTTTTGATGAAGCGGGTTCAGTTGAACCCGCTTGCCACCACGTGCGTCCGCCACTGTTTCATTTAAGATCTCTCTTGATGACTACCAGTATAGGATCATAATTATTCATTCTAAAGCATGTGGATGTCAATTGTCGATCAACATCAAGTGTTCCAAAATTTACCTTACCTTACTAATTCACCTTTCTTTCTCTTTTGTTTTTTTCATATGCTTAGATTGGTTATGATAAGCAAGGACTTCCAATAGGTTTGCAGCTTATTGGTCGTCCGTGGTGTGAAGCTACAATCTTGCGTTTAGCTAGTGTGATAGAGGTATTCTCCTCCATCTCTACCACCACCCGCCCCAACCAACTATAACTGCTAAAATTTACAACAGATTATTGACGGGAGATTTTGATTTGTGCTTTCAGGAATTCTCTGCAGAGTATAGGAAGAAGCCAATGGAGTTCTATGACATCTTGAAAGTGAAGTGAGAATAATGTGTAAGCTAGTTTGTTATTTTAAAATTGGGAAGTGTGTAATTGTTCCCATATCATAAGAGAAAAGTCTCTTTTGGAGCCTTTTAAGCACTTGTCACTTTCATGTCTTAGATTTAGGACACACTTAGAAGTGTGTGCAACTAAGTACACTAAATATTTATATATTATTATACAATCAAAAAGGGGTCTGTTGGTTGCCTATAAATACACAAGAATTCCCAACATGTAAAAAAAAATCACAAGGAAGAGAGGGAGGGAACTGACAGGAATAAGCTTAAGCCTAACCTCAGGGTAAGAAAAGATTTCATCACAAATGAACTTACTCAAAGCCTCAGAGAATGAATCGAATAAGAGCTAAAGCATAATACTCCTAGATATAGAAATGTGGTTGCTTTTCAATAATTATATCTAGTGGATTTTGGTGATATTTGCCTTTGCTTCATGTATTTAGTACCAGCAACCTTTCTGTAATTTGGACCAAATTACGAAAAAGCAACGATAATTAGAGCAGTTAAAGAGATACAACAGACGCAAAGGGAACTTGTGAAACGTACAACACATCATCTTACAGGGAACCACACTCATTTTCCAAAAAGAGCACCAAAATAGCTTTGATTAACATAAACATAAGGGCAAACATTACGTGATAAAAGGTCTAATCTAGGGACAAAATAGATTTACTAAAAGAACATTTGTTGCAAATCACAGATTTCCAATAATATTTCGATTTCTATGTATCACTATGCTGGTTTTCTTCTTCTTTGATCTCGGTAGGGTCCTTTTTCCTCCTTATCCTTCAAGAAGCCTAGGATGACAAGAAAAACAAAAAAGAAGAATGCCCAGCGGCCTCCACCACCCCCACCTGCCCAATGGCCTCCCCC